GCATACAGCTCATTTTACACAGGCTTAGCATGAACATTTTCTATCATTATATATCATTAGTTGCAACCACATCAGTAGGACGACGCACACCTGCCTGCAGCTCAGGACGTTAGTTGTTTCTGGTTTGATTTCACACATTTGCAAATTCACAATTAATCTACACTAGTGTTTTTCTAAATGCTTGTCTGTGCTGCTCTTATGCCCCCAATAGTTTTTAATGCTGCAATCTACACTGGCAGCTTGCACAATATATCAGTAGCGCAGCAAATCATGATGGTCTATACCCATTATTTTATGCTTCAAGTCTATCTTCACATTTTTTACATTGTAAACCTGCATGTTAAATTGTTAGTATCACAGGGAGATGTGGATGCAGTGTTCTAAAATTGTCTAAAATTGAAAAGCAGGAGCTGAGTACAGAAAATACAGTATTTTCCTTGGGTTTTGAAGAGACAGGGATTTTAGACATTGCTAGGGGGAAATTATATGGGTGAGGGAGAAACATGGTTATATGTTCTTATGGTTACATTTAACCACCACCATATGATCACACTATGAGGAGCCAGTTCGGGATGAGAAAGGGAAGAATTTAGAGAGAACTACAGTTTGCTCTGCCTAATGTACAGTATACTCCATGTTTAAGAGTTACAATTCTTCCTGGAGGTTGCAGAGGGGGTATTTATAAATTACATGAGAATCTAGAAACTATGAGATGGGAGTGGTGTCTGTGACCACTAGGTAAAGTAGAAGAAATCCCTTCATGTTTAGACAAATAAGGAAACTGCTTCAACTAAGTCTTGAGAAAAGTATCAGCAAACCTGACTGCTGCTGTTTAGGGGGCTCTGGGATTAGCTATCGAGAATTTTCCCTGGTCAAACAAGATCAGCGAGGCTGGATTAGGTTAAACAATCGGTTATATTACAAGTTAAAGTTACAAATGAGAATGTGGCAAGATTACAGATCAGGGCAGAGTTTTATCTCTCCCAGAAGCGTTTGGTTTAATGCCTCACAAATCCTGGAGCTGGTTTGGGCGTCAACGCTTGTAGACCCCATGGCTGGCCGTGGGGAGGGAGAATGCATCTACAGTATAAGGCATAAATCTACTGGTTAGAAATGAGGCAGTTGCAAGGAATCCTTGTGGGGAGGGGGTTGCTAAGGAACCCCGTGGTGCCTAAATCCACTGGTTATAAGAGAGTTGGTAGACAAGGAGCACTCCTGGGATGTGGAGCTGAGAAAGGAATAACTTCTGGAAGGACGCCTGGGGAAAGGAAACCCTGTCTCAGTGCAAGAACTGAGAAATTGCCCCAGAAGGGGAAATGCAGTTATTAATAATCCCTGAAGGGATTATGAAGAGAGAAACTGGAATTTGTGTTAAGAAGAAATACGTTCAGTGTGATGGAGAACTGAAGTTCCCCTGGTAACCACTGAACATCAAAGAGTTATCAAAGATATCACAGCTCTGTCTAGAGTATGGGGAACTATGGGTTACAGTGTACCAGAGGAGTGAAGACCACGCAAGAAATAATCTGACCACAGGCCAGGTAAATCACTACAATATACAATCTGCATAGTTGGAAAACCAAGAGTTGCAGGTAGAGATTGACAGGAGGAAGGCTGACGATGTCTTGGGTGGTGGACCTGCTACCTAGGGTTCCTAATCAACAGAATTACCTCCTGCTCTTGGTTTTAAATGTACATCCACAGTTTCCACTTGTATCCTCTTCATGATTCATTGGTCATTCTGAAGAAGTTCACTGGGCTGACTTTGTCAATGTCTTTCAGGAGTCTGAACATTTTAATCAGGTTCCCTTGTAGTCTTGTCTGTTCAAGACTAGAAAGCTCGTTCTGTCTGTCAATGTGGCACACAGACCCAGGATGCTTCAGGTTGCTCTTCTCTGGACTGATTCCTGTGCCACAATAACATTTCTATAACACGGTGCCCAAACCTGTATACGATATTCTAAACAAAACCTTATTAGTGCACGGTAAAATTAAACCTAAAATCTCTTGATTTAAAATGCAAACCATTTATACGATATCCTAACATTGTATTTGCTTTTTATTAATTTTGTAAAAGAAACATAATCTAGAAACAAGCTTATTACACTAAGATCTCAGCATTCACAAGAGTGTGGTGAACAGATCCATCACAGTAGCCAAATCCACATACAACCCATTCCACCACACACCAATTATACCATTGTATAATGTACATATGTACACAGGTAACCCTCCTTTTTATGATAATTAAAGTATTCATGCATTTGCTTTAAGTTAATCACAATAACATTAATCAACTTAAACAAACAGCTGTAATCACAAACTTATATCAGCTAAGACAAACAATATGAATCCCTCTGTGGCCAGAGGAAGCCTTCACTGCATTGCCCCACTGCAATAAAAAGGGCAGTAAAACTGTCAGTGAGCCTGGAAAGTTATCTTCCAGCCTGTCTTTGCCCATGCTGCCGACACGGAACCGGAAGTGATCGTCACAATAAGAAAAAACAAGACGGCACTGAGGCACAGATGCTGGGTAGTGGGTACTTGAGCAGAGGCTGGGAGAGGCTCACTCAATAGATTCATCTTGCTATCCTATTCTCTTTTGAAATTTGCAGTTAACGATCTTTGGCTTGGTTTCATCCTGCTCCACTCTTCTTTCATCCAAGACTCTGCTGGCCAGACGGCCAGATCAGATCTTAAATCAGCATATTTACAAAATCACGAAAGTTGGATTCAAATGGCGAGACTCTACTGTATTTTCTATGTTGTATATACTGTATAGTTTCTGTCTTTATTCCTGCATGTACAGTAATACAGTATTCAGAATTTCATCATCCCAAGTCACCCCAGCTTCAGCATTCACCACTTTACATTCATCTTTACTCTCTGTTTTCTATTAAGCACACACATTTCACACAATTAATCTTTCTTGAGTTACTTTATCAAATCCTAAATGAACCATACCATATGCCCTCTGTGGGCCTAGTGCTGTTGTTGCTTCTTAATGTAACTCTTAACAAGTTAGTTAAGCAAGACCAATAGCTGGAAAACTATATACTGAAGGTGATCCTCTGATTAAACTCTCTAATTTGTCTCATGTAACCTAACCTAATATCTCTGTGTAATGACCAGATTACTACTGAGTTTGACTTATGAATAAAAACACACTACTTCCTGAAACTGGGTTTTTTTACTGCTTATTTTGCTACAATAGTAACAGATGGACACTCATATTAAATGTCAGTCATACAGCATGTTTATAAAACCTGGTCAAAATCATATATTATATAACTCAATGAGACACAGATCTGTTTATTATTAGACATGCAGTCCTGTTTTATTAAGTATGAGAGCAATGTTTTCAAAATGTATATCATTAACAGTTGTATTTCTGCTAACAAGTGTATTTGAGAGCTTTGAAGAAGAGACAGAATTTATGTTCAAAAATGGTTTTCTATTATATTGACCAATACAAGAGGTGATTAAAGGGCTCATAACTCAGATCAGTGATGAGGGACCACCCCCAAATCCCTCAGTATACACAGTTTAACAAACACATGACATGCAGGACCGTTGTTGCTCAGAAACAAAGTAGGAGTAATACGTTTTGAGAACACAAGAGCATCCAAAACAATCTCACAGGGTTCCCATCCTTCCTGTATGGTAATTTTGTTAATTTGAACCCAGGATGCTGTGTTGCTGTATGTCCTGTCTCAAGAGGACAATGATCATTACAGTATACAGTACATAGTCACTGGTTCCTTTAACATGACTGGAATACTGAAGTACAGTATCTCTTTTTGCTCTTTATAATACTCAGCTACATGATGACTGACAGACTTTCCTTTACTTTATCTCATCAGTTAGCTTCTTTACAAATTGGTGTCAATGTGGCATGCTTCTGTGTAGTTGTGCGAATTGAATTTTTATTTGACAGTGATTTTGTACAGAAATATAAAACATGAGTTAATATCAGTAAACAGCAACTGTAACTATAGCAAGCTACAGTACTAAAAAAAATCAGAGCTAAGCTGTGGTAAATAATGCGTAAATACAGTATCATTAAACAGCAAGAACTATAACAAAATTAGCTAAATTATAATTCATTTTAATGACTACCTAGAAAATTGAGAGAATATCGTAAGCATTTACATTTCTTCATAATTTGTATGCCGTCATACGTCTGGCTCCATCGTTTAACCTACTGTATAACGTTGCGCTTAATGCAATCGTGTATGACAGCCAATAGCTCCTACAGAGAATGTCAAATGACAAAAACGCTGGCGGTGTTATCTAAATGAGCTGTCCGTGTAAGACTGGACAAGCAGATCTTCGTGATTCTAATTATAGTATTTATGTACAGTATGCCCACAGTCGAATTCTATACTAGTCTTTCACATGTGCTTTGTAGGCAAGTGACATGTTTTATCTTGATAAGTGAAGAGCCTGCCGTGCGACTAAGAGCTTCCTTATGTCATGAGTAAATTCAGGAAATTCATCCAACAGTTGTCGTGTGTTTCGACCAATTCTACAACCACATAAAAGTTATCCCATTTTATATTAACGAGCGCGACTATTTCAGCAGTTTGTCTCAAATGGCGACTTTGACTGCTACGTTACGATCAATGCATTTGCTATAATTTATCAACCAAAAAAAATGTCTCGTATTAAAATGCAGTATTAGTTGATGTTTTATTTCTTCGGATAATATAATATTTGGTACATTTTAGAGAGTACAGAGAAAGGGATCCAACTGCCTTCAGTTTTCTTTACTCATCGTTAAAATGCAGTTGCATTTAAATCGTACAGAGCGCATCATTTCCACTTGATACATTTTTCTGAGAATCTTCGTGAAAACATAAGTAGAGGGGGGTAAAGCGAACGATATACGGTATTTGGGTATATGATAAATCATTTGTTTCCCTTGCCTTTCCATGAAGTTTGTCTCAGATAAATATCCAGAAGCAGCAACAATATGCATAAATTGGTCCCAAGCTTACCTCTGTCCAAAGTGAGCGGTTGGACCACTGTCGCCATGTCTGCTGCTGTTGGAGATAAAGTGACTAGCTGCAGCATCAGAAGCAACTCCACGAAAGCGAGCGAGTGAGAGAAGCGAGCCAGTCAATGGGAGTGGCTGGAAGACTCAGGGTTTACAGGATTACCTTTTCAGTCCTAGGTCGTTCCGAAGCATTAGTCGTAGCATCTGTTTTTTTCTGCCGACTCGTTTGTGTATGGTGTTAGGAAGGATATGTAACTTTTTGCAACACTGAAGAAAGCAGCCAAATTAAATAAATAGTAAACATGATCATTTACTAAAAATTCACAATGCTTTTACAGTGACCTGTATTCATGAAAGGCTCTCCGACAATTTGCTACAACAAACACGTTTTAAATAATGATTAGTATGTAAATGTAAGTTCAAATGCATTTTTGACGTGATTTAATTTACGAACGTTGTAGATGTATAAATAATTCTTTATTAACGTTCAATTATAGCCTTCTAAATTATGGCAGTACAGCATTAGCGGAAAATGCTGGTTGAATACATGGCAGTATATTATTAACTGTTATTTTTATATTATAGAAATTACAGTTTGTTACATCCAGTGTTACTACCATTCAGAAACTGGACTGTATGTATGCATAATTAAATATGCATGTAGATAAGTAAGATAAATATATATTACAAGTAACTACAGGACAGGACAAGTAAAATTGAATACGATGTGACATAAACAAAAAGATCTTTACATTAAAGTCAAGACTTTAACGTACGTTTTTATTACTTTTAGATTCTTGTAAATATTTTTGAAAACAATTGTTAAACATTGAACGTGCTGCTTATTTTGTCTTTCCTGGGTTTTAAACTGTATATTGAATAATGTGTTTTTCTTGTTACGGTATTTAATTAAAGAAACAACCCTCTGAGTACCAGAGTGAAGTGGAGGTTAGTACTACTGTACTGGCTCATAGTTCTCTAGCCCATGGCTCATGTTTAGTCTGGGGTACCTTCTTCGTAGACTTTGCATGGTGTGGGTTTTCTCTGGGTGCTCTTGCTTTCTCCCATCTTCCAAAGACATGCAGGCTATGGTGCATGGTCTACATGGTGTGTGTATGCAATGTGGCCGGCATCCTGTCCAGGGTACAGTTCCTCCTTTGCTCCCTTAGCTTCAAGGATGGGATCTGAGTTTCTACAGGCATTATTCTTGCCTTTAGCAAGAATAAACGTCTTTCTCATTAAAGATGAATGTGTTGTAATAGAAGCTCCAAATACTAGATTGTAACTCATGATAACAAAAGTGTTAGGGGTGCAGCTGGCGTCAATTAACCCTCATTATTTAATTTCCATTCCGCACCCCTTCCTTCACTATTTAAACCCTCCATTCACTCCGAATCATCGCTTGGTATTAGGAATCTAATTAGGAATGGGAGCTTGGATCATCCTCAACCCTTGATATCCAATCTCTCTCTCCCGGACCTCCATTACGAAGGCTCTTCTAGCCTTGGACCTCTTGACAAATCTTTCGTCTCGCCCCTCTCGGATTTGTTTGGCTTGATACTCTCCCTATCTCTATCCAGATTTGGCCTCACTTGGAACTACTGGCTTCTCTGCTGCCTCACCCCTCTCAGACTCGTAAACCTTCGTCCTCTCTTGGAGACCTGCACAAGGATTCTTAAAAACTTGCCACAACAAATTTAGGATTTGATGTATGTTTTTTGTAAAAATAACAGAGCTGGTTTGTTACACAGAAACACAGGGGCTCTGCTTTCAAGGTATAGATTAAAGTTCTGCCTTTATGACTTGATTTACAGGCTAACAGGGAAGCACAGTGGGATCTCTGTGCTGGTGCTGCACTAGGCTCAAGAAAGAGCACTACTGATGACAGGTAGATTAATTTCAGGTCACAGGCAATGTAATGTTTTATAAAGATAACAGATCACAGGCCATTATGAACATTTGTGGAGCACTGGGTTCTTATATTAAAACAATGTTGATAAAAATATTCCTCTCTTTTCACCATTAACATTTTAGTTTGCCAGGGCATTATTCACTTCTGATTGTAAAGCAAGTTTACAGAATATCTCATTGTTATTTGATAACCAGCTTTACTTTTTTTCTTTGTTACTCATATTTTCTATATGTATTTCTCATTTTCTTATCTTTTGGGTTACCTAAAGAAGTGAAAACGCATATACATGTAGGAGCATTTCCTTACATGAGATAACAAGGCCTCTCGCAGTTGAAAACTAATTACATCAGGACAGTCATTTTTGATGAGCAGCAACATGGTGTCCAACTATGCAATTGACATGTATTTGCTCCATTGAAGATATTAATTGGAAACAAGAGGTAAATGAAAATTGCTATCAAGAGCTAAGGAATTCAACATTTCCCATGATACCATGCACAATGTAATCCATTGGCAGCTGTGGTGCTGCAAAGTACTGATCTGCTGCATACTTGCGCATCTCCCCAATGATCATGTTCATCCTGCATGGGGATCTTTCTGCTGCATTGGACTCATTGCCTGTTCCTTCAGCACACTGTTATAGCACATGAAGCATGGGTGCACTGGACATTGAATCAACCATCTCACTGCCCTGATCTGGCCACCCAGTGTTGTTTTTTTCTCTTTAGTCCCTTATAGAACCACGTGTACAACATGCAGTTTAAAACTGACAGCAAAAAGCAGTATGCAGTATATATTTCCTGAAACCTCAGATGTATATTTGGGATTTTCATTACACTGGGTACAATGCTTTGGTGTCACAGCGCAACATTTGACTGTGGAAAACTAATGTGTATTATGGCTTTATTATTGCTTATACAGTAAGTGTATGCATGTATTTCTACAATATACTGCATGTAATAGGGTGTTTCTGTAAATAAGTTAGCATTTATTCAGTATGTATGAATAAATGCTAACTTATTTATAGAAACACCCTATTACATGCAGTATATTATAAAAATACATGCATACATATTGAGACATTTGTGCTGTGCTTGACTGAAATACGCTCACTACTTGATATATTGGATTCATCTGATATGAGAAGCTTATTTTGATAATAGGAAAAAAAGTGTTTTGTATACATTCAGGACTCATCTTTCTTCATCTGGTGTTTAAGTGGTTTTACACAATAGCCTTGTGCTCTTTCTTTTCCTAGATCTGTGTGGTTCATATTGTACATTTACAATACATAAAAAAACATACTTAAAAATGCAATACCTTTGGATATGGTAGTCGTGATGATAAGAGAATGTGTACGTTTCTGGTCTACAGCAGCTGACACTATTTTGAAGGCATTTTTCCCATAGTAAGACATTATATTGCTAAATCCTTTAACTTTATTTTCTATTCTCTGAGTCCTTTTGATCAGGAGTGTCAGTATGCAGTGGGAACTTAAATATATACAGTATTACTATATATATATAGACATCACTATTTTGATTTAAACCCCAGCCTTTGATCAGCCTTTGCAATCTACTTCTGTTACAAAACCCATATCAAATAAAAAGTAAAAGTACCACATATTACTTCAAAATGCAATGGAGCTACTTCTCTGTTTTCAGACTGCGTAATACATCGTGTTAGCTTTGATGTTAGTACTACAATCAATCTCTATAATTGGTATTGATTTTTTTTATGGTAAGAAAATAATCTGGAACGTTTGTAGAAAATCATTATACTGTATGTCAGGACAGTTTAAAGAAAATGAAGTCTCTCTCACTTGCCATACATTTCTGGCCTCTCACTCTCAAGTTTGTGATATTAAACAAAGCAAGCATAGTAGATCTGGAAAAGGGAAATTCTAATTGATTCCAGCAATTTTACAGAAATGGTAAAATACTTACTGAGAAATGTTAAACATTTTTAAATCCCACGCACATTCTAAGACTCAATCGAACACTTATAAGTGTAAACTTTCCATCTTGCTGAAATTCATCAGAACACTGTAAATAGTCATTTTTATGGTACTCCACTTATTCTTGTTTACATTCATTATATTTTAAACGATGCTTGTTCTGCTAACTAAGATGTAAAACAGAAAATCCTTACACAAGTAATAAACAAACTCTGAAACTTTTAGTTCATTTATTTAACAAATAAAATAATTGATAAAAAACATAATGATGGAAGCATCACAAACCCATATCTATCCAAGAAATTGCATACTGCATATTAATTCATGTGCCTCCAAAACAGGGCATTAGCTGTTCTTGCAAGAACTAGAAAACCAAATCCATTAACATCAGATTTGTATTATATTGTTAATTAAAGTATTCGTTATTGCCATCCTTCACTTTTGCAGAAGCCAACACTGTTTTTTTTCCATGGATGTGCATCCAGTTAACAGCTGATACAACATTGTCGACATTGAAGAATTAAGAGATGGGTTATTCTATCTGAATGACTAACAGCAAATGGTTGTCTGTAATGAGTTAGAGAAACAGCTTAGAGTCTGCGATAAAGAGGACATGAGGAGATTAGGTATTTGTGGCCATATGGGATGATGTCCTGGCATTTATAAAACATCAGAGCAACATTTTGTGCTATTTGCATTTGATATTATACTAGTATGCTCATAGTATAATAATTAAATTGGTTTCTCAGTCAAAATGTTTTTAAATTACACCACACTTGTGACAGTAGGAGTAATTTGCAATATTGCCAACTGCAATATTGTAGATATGTTGTAACAAATGAGCAAATATTAGGAATTAAAGTATTGGTCATGGGCAAAATGACTCGGTCATCGCCCAGTCCACCTGGGCTTTGTCATTATCCACTATGGTAAAGCACAAGTGGCCGAGCACCACCAGGGCTGAGATGACATCTGGGCTAATCCTTGGCTTTCCTCTGGGACTTCATGTATTCAGTGTAACCAGGGGTGCACTTCTCCTCCAAACATTGTAGATACTCCTGAAAGTCACATTGGAATAGTTCTAGGATATCATTTCTGGAGTTTACACCTTGTCAAATAAATACCAGCAGCCATATCACCCTGCAGCTCTCAACTAGCAACCCACTGAGGCTACGCAGGTGTGAGCCTGGTCAGCACGTGGTGTGGGAGGCCTCCTGGGAAAAACTTAACTTGCTGCTGGAAGAGGTGTT